GCTAACTGGGCCTTGCTTTTCAATTTTAAGGAGCAGCAGTGTACTTGCTCCCCAATCAGTTGTTTGGCACTACTACAATCCTCCGTTCCTCTCACTTTCCGGTTCGGAGCCCAGGAGTCTCGGTTTTCCTCCTTCCATCTTTCTTTCCCACATTTCGTTTTTCGTTATTGCTCTGTGAGTTACTGTATGTGCTTGATAAAGTTGTGAAATTTTGTGCCGATTCTTTCAGGTGTCTTAGGCTGGCTACCATAATAACAGGTCACCGTACGCTTGCGCCAGATGCTTTCTTGTAGTCAGAGGCCTTCCGCACTTCGCCTTTCCTGAGAACTTTGATCAGCTCCTTTATCACAGTGCTGTTCCTTCTTGCTATCTGTGCAATCTACAGCTTTTCTATTTTCTGCTTTGAGCGTAGCGGATCCAAGTAACTTTATGTGAGCCTTTAAATGAACTCTTTCATTTTACTTGCTGATAGATTTCAAACCTGAATACTAGTAATCGAAAAACAAGTCCTTCTAGGATTCGTTTCATAGCAGACTTACGTTAGAATTATTTCTCGTTGCTTTGTTCTTCTACCTCCCTTCACCGCTCATGGTACTTCGTTCACAAAGAAACAAAAAATCTCCTGAAATAATTCTTGTAAATAAGCCATAACTTTTCCAAATATGTGAACGAGCAGTTTAGTTGTTATAATTCGTGAAAATCTGGAATTGTAAAGACGAAATTCAGTTTTCACTGGAATATGAAACTGCGAACACTTTTGGGAACATTTTCAAGTAACTGGCGAGAATTTGTCGCACACTGCGCATGCACTGCAAATCCTGCACATCCGGCAGACGAAATGTGGTTTTTGTTTAAAATGAATACCCTAGTGGCCAGCCTTCTTGGTTTTTTCGAAGCTCATTTGTTCCCGAATCTGCGACTGTCTTGTGCAAAAAAACCCGAAAGGCGCACTGAAGAAAATGTCTTAGAGAAAAGAATGGCAAAAGTTATTTTGTGGCTGTGCAGGATAGATATGACCTAATTCAGAAATCGCAGAAGTGCTTAACGTTTCAAGTAATATTTGGAGTCCTCACGTCCGTGTATGAAATAGCTTATGTCGAGGTTGTATATGTTCATGATAGCAAGCCACTGGTCATATCTTTATCTTTCTA